AGAGAAGACAGGATTGAAGTATGCCAAACTATAAATCTGGGCAATCTTTCTTTTAGCCCAATCATGGAGTTGAAAAGCTTAAGCAAGAAAGTTGCTATATAGCAGGAAGGCTGGTACACAAGCATCAGTCTTAACTGGTCCCTATTAATGACCAACCTAATAATGTCTCACACCTGGTAATCTGGGGAGCAAAGCCTCTGAATGCCTCCCAGCTTTTTCAGATGACCACCATCTCATTTCTTTTCCCTGGTGTCTTGGCTGGTGCCTCTGTTACCACAATTATCAGCACCAACCGCCATCAGTACAACCCAGCTGCCTTCACTAGCAGCTCCAATCCTCCAGGCCCACCTCAGCAGGTAAGAGAAAAGGATTCTCATGTCACATACACTGCCTCCCCAAGCCACCAGACTGACCAACCAAAGTTGTTACTAGTTCAGGCCAGATAATTCCCACTGTTTGGTTAATGATCTCCAGGGACTCTGTCACAGCTTCAAGCACAACTTACCCCAAACCAAGCACAACATTCTAAAAGTTATCTACTAATGCCCCTGTACTAGTTGCACATCCAGATTCAGTGTCATTATAGGACAAAAAAAAACAAAACAAAAGCAAAAATAGAACTAAGGAGGGTAATTTCTGAAACCCTGGAAGTCTCCAAACCTATAGCCATTCAGTGTTGCTAGGGTTGAGCTGAAGTTTGATATTACCAATTCAAACTCCCACAGCTTCCAAACACCAAAAAAGGACCTCAATAGCATCACTTAATTCACCAGATGCGGAAATGTACATATGGATATCAGCAATGTACTAAAACCTCGCTCCATGGCAACAGATGAACTCACCCACAGCAACTTCATGTAAATGTTAAACAGAACAACTGAACTCTGCAGAGCCCCACAAAACAGGGCTAGGGGTGGATTTCTCACTCCTGATCAACACTACCGGAACCAACCACCAAGGAAGGAAGAAAAACAGTGAAATATACAGTGCCGCCCATCCCTAACCCCTGCAAAGAAGTATACTATAGCTGATGGTGTTGAAGACAAGCAAGAGGTAAAGTAATGTGAGTATTCTCTGAAGCTGCCTCAAGAACAAAGGCCTTGTGCAACATGGAACAGCCCTGAGTAGCACAGGAATCGGTGAACAGAAAAAGAACATCACCTGAAAGTTAAGTGGCGTGCTGCAGATCCTAGGGAGTGCTGCACCACTGGGGCTCTCATACCTCGGAGAAAAGTGTGAGGTGGTGCTTTTCAACGGCCTAGGGCAGGGGTGTCCAACCTTGGCAACTTTAAGACTTGTGGACTTCAACTCCCAGAATTCCTCAGCCAGCAAAGCTGGCTGAGGAATTCTGGGAGTTGAAGTCCACAAGTCTTAAAGTTGCCAAGGTTGGACACCCCTGCCCTAGGGTGTGTGTGCTAGGATTGAAATCGAGTCCAGGGCCTCTGCTTTAGGCCCAACCTTGGTGTTGCTGCTGAGTGCTGTTGTTCAGAGTGGCCTAGATAGAAGGGAGATGGAGAATTGTATCCCTTTCGCTGGGAAGGGGAGAATGTCACATCAGCACAGTCAAGTTAGCATAAAAGGTTCACCATTACTGGTTTAGCATAAAAACAAGAAGCTAATGGGAGATATGATATAGTTTTTCTATAGTTGAATAACTGTCACATGGAGGAGAATATGGATTTATTTTCCACAGTGCCTGAGGATAGGACAAAAAACAATAAGTGGAAGCTTTAAAGAGATATATCCTAATTTGAAATTAATAGGAATTTCCTGATTGTGTGAACTATAAAACAGAATAGCTTGCCTACTCGTGTTATAGAAGTCTATTACTTTTCAAACAAAGATTCAAACAAAGATTGCCTTTGTTGAGACAAAGGCATACATACTTTAGTTCAACTTCAGCAGCTGGGATAGTTTTCATGGTAAATATGAATTATACTCCTGACATGCAGTCCTGGCACTACTCCTTAATCACTTCTAATAATACCCCCACAATGATAAGGCACCAGTAGAAGATTAACAACTTTGCACTAAAACAAACATAGTGCTGAGTCAGCTGCAAAGGCAGTCCATTTCAGATACCTGCTTTATATACACTGATTTTTAATTCTGAATGTTAACAGGCACACCTAAACGATATATACACATTACATTTTCAGAAATACATTTTGTTTAACCTTTCATTATATTATATCAATTTCTATTTACTTAAGAGATTAAACGAACTGTACAATTTGACCAGAAACACCCAAATGTCACCATATATTGACTGACCTGGATTACGACATAGAAGTTTTTCCATTTGGAAAGAACATTTAACAATAAGTACACCCTCACACTCAGCAAATGCACTAGGCATTCATAAGATCCAGCAACATAATCTTTTGGTTAGACTGCTACATGAAGCAAAACCAGCCAATAGCTCCCCTGCCTCTTACTGACTCTAACCTGATGGAATGGACAAGTACTGCATCTCACCCAAGATTTCACTGCTGTTTTTGAAATTGAAACAAAATATCTGAAATTGTGAAAGTTTTTCCAGAACCAGACAGAAACTTTTATGTAAAAATGAGAAAAGGAATAGATACTTTACTCTCGGATCCACAGGTTTCCATAAAACAAAAACATTCATCAATCCTATTTTATTTATAAATTAAATAATGACAGTAATATAACTTACCTCCAAATTACTCTTTGAGGAAGTCTAGCCAGAGCACGTGCCAATTTATCAGCTATATCTTCATGTAAGTATTTCACTCCAGCTCCAAATGATACAAGGACAAAGCCATTTTCAGTAGCACCATTCACCCATGTTTGCAGTTCCTATGGAAATAATAGGCTTGCTATCAGCAAACTTACTATTGTAAATACATCCAATAAAAGTATGATGTCATAACAATAACATAGTATTTAATTGAAGATTCATCAATCAATAAATAGCCCAATTACTATTTAAGATGCTCTTATCCTATGCTCAAAGTGGCTTGACTCGGACAGTTTAAGAAAATAAATGTAATATTAAAGCTAAATGTCAGGGTTCCAAATAATAGATCCATAGTAAGCGAAACTCCGAGGTAAGTGGATTCCTCAAAGAATAGCTTTATTGGATATATCATATTGGCACAGATCTGGTGAAAACCGACTCTGAAGGTTTCCACGGTTTTCACCTAATTAAAACCTTGAGGGCTGACACTGAACTACTGTCCCTTGAAAAAGAGGTAGATTGTATGAATTCACAGGTGACTTAAAAAATTTCAATTAGAGTCAAGTATCCTTCAGTGTGATATCTGATTCAGATGTAAGGGTAATGAACTAGAAATGTTACCTAAAAGTGGGTGAAATCTGGAAAATACTAAGGGATAACATCATATGCCCAAAGATTGCAAAGTGGAATTTGTTGTTTAGACAGAAATGGCTAATAAAAGTAAAAAGTTTTCTTCAGACTGCTATGTGTGAAATATCCCACAATGGCACACGTGGCATTGAAACAATTATTAATGATTGATCTGTCTAATGTGTGCAGATATCCAAGTGCTAGGGATGTATTTTCAGATAATAACAGAGTCTATTACCGTGTTTCTCCAACAATACGACCTCCCCCAATAGGAAGACCCAGCATGTTTTCCAGGCATAAAATCAAATTAAGCCCCTCCCCCCAAATTTAGGCCTATTTTAAAACAAGCAAAATAAGGGGGAAGGGTGGGGAGACTTGCCGTTAGGAGCGCCCCGTGAGCAGCAATTCCTCGCCACCAGCTGCTCCTAATGGACGATCATGGCAGAGCGCGGAGAGCTCCTACTCCTGCCAAGAACCTTTGTTGCAGACCCAAGACCTTCAGCGCCCGCCACTGTTGATTTCCCTTCTGCCCATGCCGCTGCCGCGTTTGGAGCTGCCACTTCCATGTTTGGAGCACTGCCGCTGTTTGGAGCACCGCTGCTGTTTGGAGCTGCCGCTTCCGTGTTTGGAACACCACCGCTGTTTGGAGCACTGCCGCTGTTTGGAGTTGCCATGTCCGCATTTGGAGCTGCTGCCGCGTTTGGAGCTGCCGCTTCCGCGTTTGGAGCACTGCCGCTGTTTGGAGCACCACCGCCATTTGGAGTGCCACCGCCGCTCCAAACATGACTGCAGCTCCAAACGCGGAAGTGGCAGCTCCAAACGTGACGGTGGTGCTCCAAATGGCGGCAGCACTCCAAATGGCGGCAGCACTCCAAATGGCAGCGGCACTCCAAACACGGAAGCGGCAGCTCCAAACGTGGCGGCGGAATGGGCAGAAGGGAAAGCAACAGCAGCGGGTGCCAAAGGTCTTGGGTCTGTAGCAAAGGTGTTTGGTGGCAGTAGGGAGTTCTCTGCGCTTTGCCATGATCACCCGTTAGGAGTGGCTGGTGGCGAGGCTGCCCGCGGGGCGCTCTAGATGAGGATGCAAGGGGGGGAATTAAATCACCCCCGAAAAGACGGCCTAGCCATTTTTTCGGGGCTCAAAAAAATATAAGACCCGGCCTTATTTTATGAGAAACACAGTAGTAACCAGAATTTTGACAGCTACTTGCATTGTTTAGGGCAGGGATCCCCAACCTTTTCGACGCCGCGGCCCGGTTCCGGCGTCAGCTGGGCGCCGCGGCCCGGTTCCGGCGTCAGCTGGGCGCCGCCATCTTTTTTTGACGAAAAATCACTTCCGGTGACGTCACCGGAAGTGATTTTTCGTCAAAAAAAATGGCGGCGCCAGCGCTTCTGGTGAGCTTTTTCGGGTAGAAATGGCTTTCTACCCGGAAAAGCTCACCCGAAGCGCTGGCGCCGCCATCTTTTTTGACGAAAAATTGCTTTTTTTACCAAAAAAAGATGGCGGCGCCCAGCAACCAGCGGCCCGGTAAGGCTTGTTCCGCGGCCCGGTACCGGTCCGCGGACCGGCGGTTGGGGACCCCTGGTTTAGGGAATCCCATCCTTCCAGAATGAATAGCAGATCTAACATATTTCATCTGAGTTGTAGAGGGCTTAAGGAAGAAATTAGGTAGAATTTGATCCTACACAAATGAAAGCTCAAGACTACCTTAATAATAAAAAGGCACTATGTCAAAGGAGAACTAAATGCAATGTAAGTTTATCAATAAATATAATCTACTGTTCTGTTAAGCTGATGTGAAAACCACTAAGAGACTATTTTCCAAGCAATCAAGAGGTATGAACCCATGGTCAAGTGCTTAAAGGGCATTGAAAATAAAAACAGAACAAGTGATAAATTTCGTCCTATATTAACTGAAGGATTCACATATACAGAAACTATTTAACTATTTAAAGACTAATGGCAAGCAACCAGCAATGTGTCCAATGGGATGCAAATAACGGTGCTTGCCATCAGAATTGAAAAGAGCTGGCTCTTTCCCCGGGGAAAGGGGAAGTAAGATACAGTGTTTTATTATGCTGGGTATCTTTTATATTTATCTTTTATTGTTTATTATAATTTATCTGACTGTTATAAGCCATCCAGAGTCATTGCAAGTTGGGCTGTATACATGTTATTAATCAATAATTAGTAATATAATCACTTTCATGGAAAAAGTTCTGAATGGTCTCAGTTTATGCCTTTAGCTTGATCATGGGAGACCGACAGAAATATCTTACCAAAGTGAAATATGAATGTCCATGATACAAAGCTATATTTGGATACTTAAAGTTCAGCAAACCTAGCAGAGAGTTATGAGAATATGGTATCATCTTAAATAATTTTTGACCAGCTTTGCAATCAAGCTGCAACATAACCAGAGACACTGGTGTCTGCAAATGAATTGAGACCATGCCACCATCCACTGAAATATTGAACACAGTCAAGGTTGCCATGGAATGCAAAATATTTATTTCTTGAATACCCCATCTACAAAAGAGGCTATCAAGAACAATTATTGTAATTAATTCATGCAGCTGGGAACATATGCCAGCACACTGTCTTTCTCTGTAAGATGACTACCCATAAGAAAGAGATATGAGGCCACACACACCAATCCCACAGCCTCAGAAAGAGGTTGAGTAAAGAGGGCAATTTCATGCCACTCTACTGGTTTATGCACGCCACTCAAAGGTGATATTGAGCAGATTTTGACCAGTTCTGGAGAACCGGTAGCGGAAATTTGAGTGGTTTGGAGAACCGGCAAATACCATCTCTGACTGGCCCCACCCCCATCTATTCTCTGCCTCCCTAGTCCCAGCTGATCATCTGGGTCTTCTTTTGATGCCCTGCACAGGAGAACGGAGCTGGAAAGCAGGTTAGTGGGGTGGGGTGGGGAGGGAATGGGGATTTTACAGTATCCTTCCCCTGCCATGCCCTCAGAACTGGTAGTAAAACATTTTGAATCCCACCACTGATGCCACTACTATAGAACTATCAAAGAGAAACTTGAATGATTGACTGAATACATGCAGCAGCCTGAATATTGTAAACAATTCCAGTTATTAGTATTGTTTCTCCACTGGATTTGTGTATGTATGCTCTAACTGCAGGCTTCCCACTTCATATTATATGCATCTATAGTCAAAACAAAAAACAGCAAAGTCTGAGAAAGAATGCACCACCAGTTCAGAAAGACGAACTCATGTGGAAAGTGTGAAAAACAGAACACACCAATTACAGAACTACAGTTCCTAAACTTGCTATGTCATCATAGGACACAACTACAAAACTGTAAGAATAATTAATATCTAGCTAGTTAATTAATCAGTAATTTATCAGTTAAGTAATTCACCATTTGGAGACAAAACTCTAGATAAATAAAGTTTGTTACCATCATATCCAGCAAGTCTCTAGACGGCAATATTGAGATTTGTATCATGATGATTCTGCACTGATATGTGTCTATTGCTATAACTGGAATCTTGGAATGGCACGGATCAGACAGCCTGACCAGAACCATTTTAATGCTCGGTTTTCTCATGATTCATGGGTAGAATTGCCAGAAATTCTGCTGGCAGAGCCTATGATGATGAACAGGATTAGTGGCATTCCTGATAACTAGGAGGACTGTGGGTCTCATGGAAAAAAATCCCCATTGCTAAGCAATATCTGAAAAGGAAATTATGGAGTAATTTTAGCTCACCAAAGATCCACTTCTGTTTTCCATTAGTCAAAAAACAGTATCGTGATGAATACTTCACCTTCTAAGACTGATTCAATAAATTATAATCTACTTAGGAAACCCTCTTAGGTTTTACACTTGAGGGCTAGGCATAGACAACAGAAGCAGAGGGATGAGGGGTGGGGACATAGGAATTGTGGGTTGCAACAGTGTGAGCACTGAAAATGGCAATTGCTATAAACAGAAGAAATCTTGTAACTGATATTTTTTAGCCTTAATATGACCTTCCACTTTTGGAGTTTATGGGCCTCATACATTATTATACCCAGATGCATCATTCCCAGTTGCTGGCTCAAAAATATAAATGATTTGGCAAAATTAAGACCTCTTACCAAGCCACTGCATGAAACAGACTTAGAAAATGTTGAGACATGGACTAGTTTCAGCAGAACTCAGCAATATCAGAACACAAAATTATCAAATAGGTTTAAGTGAGGTTTCCGAGATCTCTAAAGTGTGAGGTGCTCAGAACATCTTCCCAGAGAAATATTTATCAATGCACCAAATAGTCCTATAATTTGCTTTGTTCTAACGAGCTGGGACTCCTATATAAAATGGAGAATGAATAGTTGGATGAAATGGTTAAGGCATCAGGCTAGAAAACAGGAGTTGGTGAATTCTAATTCTGCCTTAAGCATCAAATGAGACAGTCACTTTTTCTCAGTGCAACTCACATCACATTGTTGTGCAAAAAACAGTAGAAC